ACATTTAGGCTTCAAACAAAAAAAACCCAATATCAAAAAATACAATATGCCATAGCTTTTATACAGTTAATATTTGAATCACAACCAATAATTTCAAATGATACAGTAATAAAGAACGACATTAACTTTAACTGCGAATGAATTTTTATTCCTTTTTGCTTTTTTCAAAATAATTATTTGTCATTTCACTAGATATTCTGCTAAAAAAATGCTATAGATCATCAAAAAAAAATTTTCAATTCCATAGATTTTGCAAAAAAACATAAATTTCAAAAAGTTTTGTCTTCATACTTCAGCTACCATAGCAGAAATTTTTGATTTCAATAAATCGAATAAACATTGGAGCAACAAAAATGAGAAACTTAAATTTGAATAATTAAATCAACAGTGCTGTTTTTGAAAGTTTTACTTCTTAGCATATTTCTTAGTTCATTGCTACCGTTGCTACTACAAAACACACCAAAACACTTTCTTATATTTCCCGATGAACAGTTGTTGTTCATCATCAGACAAGTCTGAAACCACTTAAAACAAAGCCTTAGGTTAAATCGTTCACGAGAAGAAAAAAATTGTAAGTCAAAAACCTCCTAAACAAAAACAAGAAAAGTGTTCCCCAAGTAACTGTTTTTTCAAAAATGCTTCTTTTTTAAAAAGCAAAAACTAAACAATAAGCATTCAGTATTACTAGAAATGCTTTTAAAACAAAAAAAAAGCATTCAAACTGCACAGCTTCTGGCTTTGTGAACAGCAGCTTTACTGGTTTGAAAGTTGTTGTTGAAATTCTAATACGGATTTTTTTGAAGCTGAGAGCAAAATGTAATAAACATCTGCTCATCAAGCTCTTTTTTACACTTCAAAAAAAAAGAAAACATGACAAAAAGAAGAACTAGCAATGAAATCCACGTCAGTTCAACCAGATAAGCTACGTTGTTTGGAAAAGCTAATTACATAGTACCTGTCCGAATCTGTATAAGACTGAAATTTTCACAGAAATGTAGAAATAATAAAGCAAAAAAAAAAAAAAACTATAAATTTCAATGACATATTTAAAAAAATGTTCAAAGCCTCTTTGTAAAACAAATTCGTATGTGAATTTGCACATATACTTTCACAGATTACAAATTCAAATTCTTCTCCTGGCTTTTCATTACCGTTTATTTCAGCAGTTAAACCAAAACACAATAAAACAATTTTTTTCGCCACCAAATTTTTCTATCATATCCTCCCCTCTTTCGTTGTCCAGATAATAAAAAAAATGCTCAGTTTTTTTTAAATTTTGTACGTTAATTGTTCTCAAGAAAAGTGTTCCATGCAAATATGTATTTGTTCCATGCAAATATGTATAATTACAGATAAATAAAATTATATATATATATATATATATATAT